AGATCCCGCTGTGTGCCGGGTGCAGCCAGCCCATCGTGGACCGCTTCATCCTGAAGGTGCTGGAGCGCCACTGGCACAGCAAGTGCCTCAAGTGCCACGACTGCCAAGCTCCGCTGGCCGAGAAGTGCTTCAGCCGTGGGGAGAGCGTCTACTGCAAGGAGGACTTCTTCAAGTGAGCTTTCCCAAGGGATTTCCATCCAATAAGCCATGGGTTGCATGGCACTGGGGTGTCCAAAGGGCATGCAAACCCAACCTCTGGTTGGTCAATGGTCGCAAAAGATGCCACTCCCATAGACTCCAAGGATGCATAGAAGCATCACGTTTTGGGGTCCTCAGGGGCCATCCAGTCCAGGTCATAGATAGATAGATAGATAGATAGATAGATAGATAGATAGATAGGATATATATATATATATATATATATATATATATATATATATATATTAGAGAAGGGATGAAAGCAGGGAAGCAGCGGCCCCTCTATGGAAAACACCGGTTGTATACGCTAGTGTAAAGTATATTACATGGAAGCAAGTACAGGTACTTCTGCACAAAACATGGAGCCTCTGTTTCATCTTCCACTTGTTTGCTGCTTCTTTCCTGGGAAACGCAGGAGATTTGGCACCAAATGCGCGGCCTGCCAGCAGGGCATCCCTCCCACACAGGTGGTGCGCCGGGCACAGGACTTTGTCTACCACCTCCACTGCTTCTCCTGCATTGTCTGCAAGCGGCAGCTGGCCACCGGAGATGAGTTCTACCTGATGGAGGACAGCCGGCTGGTCTGCAAGGCTGACTATGAGACCGCCAAGCAGAGAGGTGGGACCGCTTAAATCCTTTTTCTATAAATTTTCCACAAACTTCATCAAAATCATTTTTGTCCATATTCCTCTTTTAACTTAAATTACACGTCAACTTATCATTTATTTCCAATTTCCATAATTTCTTATCCAGGATACTTTGCTTTAGGTATTGTGTATCCTCAGGAGGAAGAAGTAAAGCTTTTCCTTTAGGAATTGTGTGTCCTCAGGGGGAAGAAGTAAAGCTTTTGCTTTAGGAATTATGTGTCCTCAGGGGGAAGAAGTAAAGCTTTTGCTTTAGGAATTGTGTGTCCTCAGGGGGAAGAAGTAATGCTTTTGCTTTAGGAATTGTGTGTCCTCAGGGGGAAGAAATAAAGCTTTTGCTTTAGGAATTGTGTGTCCTCAGGGGGAAGAAGTAAAGCTTTTCCTTTAGGAATTGTGTGTCCTCAGGGGGAAGAAGGAAAGCTTTTGCTTTAGGAATTGTGTGTCCTCAGGGGGAAGAAGTAAAGCTTTTGCTTTAGGAATTGTGTGTCCTCAGGGGGAAGAAGTAAAGCTTTTGCTTTAGGAATTGTGTGTCCTCAGAGGGAAGAAGTAAAGCTGTTGCTGCCATTTTGCTCAGCACTGTGGGTCTCTCTCCCCCAGCACCAACCAGCAACAGTCTGTGGATCTCTCTCACCCCCCACAAGCACCAGTAAAGCTGCTGCTCCGTAGCCCTGACCAGCAGCAGTCAGTGGGTCTCTCTCACCCCACACAAACACCAGGGGATAGGAGGAAAGCTTCAACAAGCAGTCTGCTACTGAGCCCAGGGAGGCCATGTCATAAATGCTGATTGTTAATAAAAATAACACATCGCCTGAAAATAAGCCATAGTGTGTCTTCTTGAGGAAATATTAATATAAGACAGTTTCTTATTCTCGAGGAAATACAGTATTTCTATCATTCACCTTAGTGCCCTGCTCCCCCTGAGCTACTTCTTTTTATATTCTCCATCCAAAATTTCATTTCCTCTTGTGGAGGTAATTCTCTGTCCTCCTTTTTCAACCCTTTTCCTATAATTTTCCCTCAAACTTCATGAAAATCACACTTAAAAAGCAAACACTAATACACTACACAAATCTAATTCTAACAATGCGCTACAACAAAGCAATTAACAAAAGGTTGCCGTGAAGGATCCAGAGATGCCCAGGGCTTCTGTACTTTGATACTGCGTCTCTCTTCAAAAAAATTTCAGAGGCAGAATCCACGGCGAAGCGGCCCCGGACGACCATCACCGCCAAGCAGCTGGAAACCCTGAAAAACGCCTACAACAACTCCCCCAAACCGGCTCGGCATGTCCGGGAGCAGCTCTCCTCTGAAACTGGCCTTGACATGAGGGTTGTTCAGGTGAGTTGGTACAGACTGTGGTTTACGTTCATCCTGGCTTGTTGCATCTCTGCAAACAAACCATGGCTTGTGAACCCACTATTTGGGAACCATGGTTTGTCATCAGCTTGAAAATGGGATCAGAACTTATCACATGGTTTCTTTTCCTTGGATGAGGAACCATGAAGGAAACCATAAATCATGATATCTGGCATAAACCATGATAGCTTACACAAATCATGATGGCCGACATAGTTTATGATAGCCACCATAATTTATGTCTGGCATAAACCATGATGGCTAACACAAACTATGATGACCAACATAGTTTGATGATAGTCAACATAATTGATGATAAGTCAACATAATTGATGATAGTCAACATAATGTATGATGACCAACATAGTTTGATGATAGTCAACATAATTGATGATAGTCAACATAATGCATGATGACCAACATAGTTTGATGACAGTCAACATAATTGATGATAGTCAACATAATTGATGATAGTCAGCATAATATATGATGACCAACATAGTTTGATGATAGTCAACATAATTGATGATAGTCAACGTAATATATGATGACCAACATAGTTTGATGACAGTCAACATAATTGATGATAGTCAACATAATTGATGATAGTCAACATAATGTATGATGACCAACATAGTTTGATGACAGTCAACATAATTGATGATAGTCAACGTAATTGATGGTAGTCAACATAATGTATGATGACCAACATAGTTTGATGACAGTCAACATAATTGATGATAGTCAACATAATTGATGATGACCAACATAGTTTGATGATAGTCAACATAATTGATAGTCAACATAATTGATGATAATCAACATAATGTATGATGTCTTGCATAAACCATGATGGCTAATGCAAACTATGATGGCTAACACAAACAATGATGGCCAACATAATCGATGATATCTGGGATAAACCATGATGGCTAATGGAAGCCATGATGGCCTACATAATCCACCTGAAACATTTCCAACTGAAATGCATTTCCATCCCCAGGTTTGGTTCCAGAACAGACGGGCCAAAGAAAAACGGCTGAAAAAAGATGCCGGGCGGCAACGGTGGGGACAGTATTTCCGCAACATGAAACGATCAAGGGGAAATTCCAAATCTGACAAGGACAGTATCCAAGAAGAAGGTCCAGAGAGTGACGCAGAAGTTTCCTTCACAGGTACAACATGACTCCCAGGTTGTATGAATTCAGACATGCAACCCAGCTCACAGATTCTACTAACCATTGCTTTTCTCCATCTTTTTCCAGATGAACCATCGATTTCGGAGATGAGCCACTCCAACGGCCTCTACGGCAACCTCGGGGAGAACTCTCCAGCCTTGGGGAGACAAGCCGGGACCAACAGCAGCTTCTCCTTGGAGCACCCTGGCATCCCAGCTCAGGACCAGTACCACGACCTCCGGTCCAACAGCCCCTATGGCATGCCCCAGTCCCCGGCCTCCTTGCAGGCGTTGCCTGGCCACCAGCCACTCATGTCCAGCTTGGTCTACCCGGATGGCGGCCTAGGTATTGTGGGCCAAGGTGGACAGGCCATGCCTCAGCCAATGAGGGTGCTAGGTGGGAATGGACCCAGTTCGGACATCTCCACAGGGAGCAGCGGAGGGTACCCCGACTTCCCAGCAAGCCCTGCCTCTTGGTTGGACGAGGTGGACCATGCCCAGTTTTGATACCGGACTGAAGTTCTCACGAAGCTGACCCCATCCAGTTTGATGCTGGACCTGTTTGCTCATGGAAGGTCCATGGAGTTGATTCTGCCCAGTTTTGATACGGGATTGAAGTTCTCATGAAGTTGATGACTACTCATATTTGGTACTGGACTGAAGATCTCATGAACTTGATGACTCTACTTAGTTTTAATCGTGAAGTTCTCATTAAAGCTGGTCCAATCCAGTCGACTGGAGACTCAAGAGCTCATGGAAACGCCATAGAGTTGAACCTGGCCAGTTCAGTGCTGGACAAATGAGTTCATGGAAGGTCCATGGAGTTGATTATGCCCAGTTTTGAGACCGAATTTAAGTTATCATGAAGTCGATGACTACCTACATTTGATACTGGACTGAAATTCTCATTGAAGTTGTTTCTATCCAGTTTTCTGTAGTCTCAAAAGCTCATGGAAAGACCACGGAGACCAGACCAGAGCTCATGAAGTTGACAACTCTATCTAGTTTTGATACACCAAGATCTCATGAAGATGCCCACCCCCAGTTTGGTGGAGACTTATTGGCACATGGAAGGTTAACAAAGTTGACTTTGTTCAGTTTTGGTATCAACCTGAAGCTCTCATGACATTGATTACATCTAGTTTGGTGGAGAAACCTATGAGCTCATAGAAAGCCCATGAAATTGCTTCTGTCCAGTTCTGATACCAGACTGAAGATCTAATGAAGCTGACAACTCTCATGAAAGTTGATCCCATCTAGTTTGGTGGAGGATTCATGAGTTCATGGAAGGACAACGATGATAACCCTGGCCAGTTTTGATACCAGATTGAGGTTCTCATGAAGTTGACTCTGCCCAGTTTGGACTTATGAGTTGATGGATGGTCTATGGAGTTAAGTCTGTCCAGTTTTGATACCAGACTGAAGATGTCATGAGCTGACAACTCTATCCGGTTTTGATCCTGGACTGAAGATCTCATGTAGTTGATGATTCTATCCAGTTTTGATTCTAGACTGAAGATCTCATGTACCTGTTGACCCTATCCAGTTTTGATCCTACATCAAAGATCTCATGAAGTTGACAGATCGATCCAGTTTGAACCTGGACTGAAGTTCTCATAAAAGTTAATCCCATTCAGTTTGATCTCATCCAGTTGGGAGGACTCAAGAACTCACAGAAGTGCCATGGAGTTGATTCCGTCCAGTTTTGATACTGCGCTGAACATTTCATGAAGTTGATGTCTCTATCTAGTTGTGATACCAGACTGAAGAACCCATGGGATTGACTCCATCCAGTTTGGAATAGGGTTTATGAACTCATAGGAGGGCCATGAAGTTGACTCTGTCTAGTTTTGATACCAGTCCAATGACCTCATGAAGTTGACCCCATCCAGTTTGTTGCAGGCCCATGAAGTTGACTCTGCCCAGTTTTGATCTCATGAAGTCGACCTCCCATCCATTTGGTGCAGGATTTATGGACTTTATGGAAGGCCCATGAAGTTGGCTCTGCCCAGTTTTGATACCAATCATGACGCTGGTGGAGGACTCGAGAAGTTGGGGAGTTTAGCCATCAAAGACAATGAACACAAAGCAACATGGACGAGTTCGAGGAGGAGGAGGAGGAGAATATGAGATCTTCCCAACGTGACCGACATCCGGTTTTTGCATTTTCGTCCTACCGGGTTGTTGAACTCTAAACAGACTTGTGCTTTTCTGGGTTTGTGTACATGGGCAAGGGATGGGGTGGGTTTAATGTGGGGACCCCTCCCAAATCTACCAAGAGATCCAAGTGAACCTTCATTGTCAAAAGGTCCATGGAATGTTAATGGACTCAACAAGCGACACACAAGGAAAAAAACCATTGATATATATTGAGGAATTCCCTTCTTATTTACTCTCATGGAATAGTTTTGAGTTTTTCTGAGCAAGCTTAATCTGTATGATTAGATTTCCAAAAGCCAACAGTTCCAAATCTTTCATTTTTCTTAGTATTCGTTTGAAAATAAGACGGTACATGGTTCTCCTTTTCAATGGCCTTTAGAAGCCTCTCTTTTTATGATGTAAGAATGGGTTTATTTTTCCCTCCTTGACTCCTTCAACAGATTCAAAGCATCGGGATGGAGAAGCTCATTTGCATAAACCCCTCCCCTTTGTTGACCTTGGAAAGGTGTTAGCTGCGTGGGAGGGCCTCCAGATTGATTGACAAGGCAGCCAGCCAATAAGGGCTGCTCTCGAATGGTACCATAGATAGAAAGATGGCTACCTTGAACGTTATGTATGTCTTTACTCCAGTGGATGATGGAACATATGGCACCCACCCAAGACACCAGACTCACACCTGCAATTGTAATTCCAAATGTTTCCTAAGGTTGCCCCATTTGGCTTCCTGGTTGCCAAAATATCCCTTTTGAGCGTAGACCTTTTTTTGCCCCATTTTCTAACCATTTGTCCTCGATGGAAAGGAAAAAGTGACACCATCTCTATCTCATAACCTGTAAACGCTGAGTATTGACTGTAGGTTATGTGTTCTGTCTGATGTCTCTCTCTCTCTAATCCGATACCATGAAAACTTTCAATAAATTTGTCAGCAAAAGATTCATTGAGTCTTCGTTGAGCTGATCAATGACCTAAAAAGAGGGAATTTGTATTCTGTTTTAATTTTAATTTGGCAACTCAAGGTTGGGAACAGATCTGGCAGAGCAAACTGGAGTAACTTCCTCATAAACCTCTTCATTTCAGGTGTGGAGGGGCACCATTCAAACCCAAACTCCATAATCATAGAATCCTAGAGTTGGAAGAGACCTCATGGGCTATCCAGTCCAACCCCATTCTGCCAAAAAGCAGGGAAATCTCATTCAAAGCACCCCTGACAGATGGCCATCCAGCCTCTGTTTAAAAGCCTCCAAAGAAGGAGCCTCCACACACTCTGGGGCAGAGAGTTCCACTGCTGAGCAGCTCTCACAGTTAGGAAGTTTCTTCCTGATGTTCAGGTGAATCTCCTTTCCTCTAGTTTGAAGCCATGTTTTGGCCTGCATCAATAGGAGCATAGTGTCTAGATCCAGGGAAGTAATGCTACCCCTCTATTCTGCCTTGGTTAGACCACACCTGGAATATTGTGTCCAATTCTGGGCACCACAATTCAAGAGAGATATTGACAAGCTGGAATGTGTCCAGAGGAGGGTGACGAAAATGATCAAGGGTCTGGAGAACAAGCTCTATGAGGAGCGGCTTAAGGAGCTGGGCATGTTTAGCCTGAAGAAGAGAAGGCTGAGAGGAGATATGATAGCCATGTATAAATATGTGAGAGGAAGCCACAGGGAGGAGGGAGCAAGCTTGTTTTCTGCTTCCGTGGAGACTAGGACGCGAAACAATGGCTTCAAACTACAAGAAAGGAGATTCCATCTGAACATGAGGAAGAACTTCCTGAGTGTGAGAGCCGTTCAGCAGTGGAACTCTCTGCCCCTGGAGTGTGGTGGAGGCTCCTTCTTTGGAAGCTTTTAAACAGAGGCTGGATGGCCATCTGTCAGGGTGCTTTGAATGCAATATTCCTGCTTCTTGGCAGAATGGGGTTGGACTGGATGGCCCATGAGGTCTCTTCCAACTCTTGGATTCTATGATTCTATGAAGCCATTGTTCCATTGTGTCATAGTCTCCAGGGCAGCAGAAAACAACAATAATAATAATAATAATAATAATAATAATAATAATAATCTTTATTTGTACCCCACTACCATCTCCCCAAGGGACTCGGTGTGGCTTACATGAGGCCAAGCCCAAATACATCAAACAACATCAATAACACAACATAAATAAAACAATCAATAAAATACAATCATATAAATCACATAACAACTATCAATAGTGACATATAAACAGTTTTAAAATGGCTGGGCCAAGAAAACAAGCTTGTTCCCTTCTCCCTATGACTTCCCATCATCTCTTGATCCATGGCCCTCATCATGTCTTCTCTCTGCCTTCTCTTCTGCAGGCTCAACATGCCTAGCCCTTTCAGCCACTCCTCATAGGGCATGTTCTCCAGACCCTTGATCCTTCCAGTTGCCCTCCTCTAGACACATTCCAGCTTGTCAACATCTCCTAGAATTGGACTCAGTGTCCAGATCTGTAGCTTTCTGGCAAAATAATTGACTCACAAACAAAGTTGGAAGGCTTTAATTCAAAAGCATACATTAGGGAATGCAACGAAATTCCAACTGCTAGTTTATTTCCCTCAGGCCTCCTATCCTTCACAGATTCAGATCCAGCTAACCGTAGTTCTGTCTCGCCCACATTGGACTAGATTCCTTGCCAGAAGGTCACGGGGGACGTTGTCGAAGGAAGGCCTTCCTGAAATCCAGATATGTTCCGTTCACAGCGATCCCTATATCTACCCATGACATCTATCCAGAAATGTACCTTCTTCTCTTGGGTAGGCTTTAATTTGATTTCCTTAATGCATTTTCTCAGCTGAAAAAGTGATTTATTCCAGCTGAAAGAGCTGGGACTTTCCGACCTGAGACAGGTAACCTGAGACAGGTGGAAATGAGGAGAAGAGAAAGGCCTAATGGAGAGTGATGTGTCCGAAAAGGCCCGCTAATCCACCCGGATCACCCTCTTTTTTGCTGTTTCTAGGCAGATGGAAACCTGACGACCGGGTTTTCTTGGAAACGGGACGATGGGAAGCGCTATCCGCACTGGGGCTCCAAAGGGGGAGGAACTGCAAGAACAAGGGAAGCACCACCAAATACAAAAACAAAGACCAGAGAGTTCATCTATTTTTCATCTATTTCCTGTCCATGTCTACCATCAACACAACGAAATACCAAAACAAAGACTATAGAGTTCATCTATTTTTCGTCTATTTCCTTTCTATCTATATCTACAATCAACCTATTGATCATATCTATCTATCCATCCTACCTCCCCTCTCTTTATCCTATATTTCTACGCATTTATCCTATTTTTATCTATCACCTATGTATGTATCCTTTATCTTTCTCACTAGCATCTATCTATCTATCTATCTATCTATCTATCTATCTATCTATCTACCTATTTTTCTATTTTATTTGTATCTATCATCTTTGTATCTATGTCTCTCTATTTTTACCTATAATGAAATTATATATCAGTTCAATCTTTCTATATATCTATCCTGTCTTTTTTATTTATCATGTTTCTCTCTCTCTCTCTCTCTCCTATCCATTTTTATTTATCATCTTTGTATCTATATATCTATTCTCTCTCTATCTCTTAATCTTGATCTATCATTGATCTATATATCCATCCAATTATCTATCTATGCTATGTATTTCTATCACTATCTATTTTAATCTATTCCCTATCTAGTTATCCTATCCTATCTCATCCATCTTTTATCTCTTCTATGTATGTATCTTCTTTCTATTTATCATCCCTATCAGTCTGTTTCTGTCTTCAATGTATGTATCATCTATCTATCTATCTATCTATCTATCTATCTATCTATCTATCTATCTATCTATCTATCTATCTATCTATAAATCCATCTATCTATCTATCTATCTATCTATCTATCTATCTATCTATCTATCTATAAATCCATCTGTCTGTCTGTCTGTCTGTCTGTCTATCTATCTATCTATCTATCTATCTATCTATCTATCTATCTATAAATCCATCTATCTATCTATCTATCTATCTATCTATCTATAAATCCATCTGTCTGTCTATCTATCTATCTATCTATCTATCTATCTATCTATATCTCTATTGTCTAATTATTCTCTCCTATCATTTATCTATGTATCTATCTTATTATTTATCTATAATCCCTATCTATCCGCCTGTCTGTTTCTATTTCTATTCTATGTATCATCTATCTATCTATCTATCTTGGTCTATTATCTATCTAGTTATCCTCTCCTATTATTTATCTATGTATTTATCTATAACCCTTATCTATCTATTTATCTATCTAACTAATAGATAGATAGTTTCTATTTCTATTCTATGTATCATCTATCTATCTATCTATCTATCTATCTTGGTCTATTGCCTATCTAGGTATCTTCTATCATTTATCTATGTATTTATCTATAATCCCTATCTATCTGTCTGTCTGTCTGTCTGTCTGTTTCTATTCTCTGTATCATGAATCTATTTATCTATCTGTCTGTCTGTCTTGAATTAATGTCTATCTAGTTATCCTATCCTATTATTTATCTCCTCTATGTATCGATCTATACAGATACATAGATGAGATAAATCTATCTATGTAGATATAGATTACATATATAATTATATATGTAGACATATATGTATCTATCTGTGTGTCATATATGTATCTATCTATGTAGGAACCCCTGGTGGCACAGTGGGTTAAACCCTTGTGACAGTAGGACTGAAGACAGACAGGTCGGTGGTTTGAATACAGGGAGAGTGCAGATGAGCTCCCTCTGTCAGCTCCAGCTCCCCATGCGGGCATATGAGAGAAGCCTCCCACAAGGATGGCAAAACATCAAAACATCCGGGCGTCCCCTGGGCAACGTCCTTGCAGGCAGCCAATTCTCTCACACCAGAAGCGACTTGCGGTTTCTCAAGTGGCTCCTGACACACACACATACAAATCTATCTATCTATCTATCTATCTATCTATCTATCTATCTATCTATCTATCTATCTATCTATCTATCTATCTGATTTTTTGTCTAGTTATCCTATCTATCTATCTATCTATCTATCTATCTATCTATCTATCTATCTATCTATCTGATTTTTGTCTAGTTATCCTATCCTATCATCCATCCATCCATCCATCCATCCATCCATCCATCCATCCATCCATCCATCTATCTATCTATTTCTATCTATTCTATGTATATATATTCTATATATGTCTCTCTATCATGATCTATTCTCAATCTGTTTATCCTAACTTATCTTTTATCTCATGTATGTATCTATCTTTCTATTTATGTATCATCCCTATCTATCTATCTATCTATCTATCTATCTATCTATCTATCTATAGATTTCTATATCTATCTGTTCTATGTATCTTCTATATATCTGTCTCTCTATCTTGATCTATTCTCAATCTATTTATCCTAGCTTATCTTTTATCTCATCTATGTATCTATCTATTTATGTATCATCCCTATCTATCTATCTATCTATCTATCTATCTATCTATAGATTTCTATATCTATCTGTTCTATGTATCTTCTATATATCTGTCTCTCTATCTTGATCTATTCTCAATTTGTTTATCCTAGCTTATCTTTTATCTCATCTATGTATCTATCTTTCTATTTATGTATCATCCCTATCTATCTATCTATCTATCTATCTATCTATCTATCTATCTATCTATCTATCGATTTCTATATCTATCTGTTCTATGTATCTTCTATATATATGTCTCTCTATCTTGATCCATTGTCAATTTGTTTATCCTAACTTATCTTTTATCTCATCTATGTATCTATCTTTCTATTTATGTATCATCCCTATCTATCTATCTATCTATCTATCTATCTATCTATCTATCTATCTATCTATCATGTTTCGACACCTTTAATCACTTATGGTTTATGGTGCTTGTTTAGATTGGATGTGG